CCAGTGGTGGGATACAGGAGGAAGGTCCAAATCAGTGGCCTTGCTTGGTAGTAGTAGAGGACTGGTAGTTTAAATACTGTGAGATTCCAGAGCCAGCCCTGCAGGAGGCTGCTCAGCCCATGCCCACCCAGCCCCAGGCTGCTGCTGAGGAAAGGGCTCACTGCCATACACGGAGAGGACAAAAAATGTGACTCTTCAGTGAGACCCATTTCACCAGATCCTGCATTTGCAGAGCTACTTTGGAATACTTCCTCTGGCTGCTCTGTGATCCCTGGGCTCTGGCATCTTCCTGGCATTACAGACACACTTTGTGTGGCAGCGGTGACGCTTTCTGCCCTGCAGATCAGAGTTCAGTGTAATTGTTATCAGGTAGCTCTGCTTTGCCGTGCTGGTGCCGTCCCCAGCATCTTGGAACCAGGATTAAAACCCAAATCATTATGGCTCAAGCAAGATTTAGAGTTTCCTTCATTGTGGGCTCATCTTTTGTGCCTCAGTGTCTGGTTTATGGTTATGTGGTCCTGGGTGCATTAAAGACTCAACAGCAAAGCCAGGGACTACATAGATGCTTTGGAAAGGTTTTCTTTGATCAATGTGATGAGACAACAGGAAAATGCTATTTTCAGCCCTACCAAAGAGTGTGCCTTGCAGAGCCTGTGGCTGGTTGACCTCCAGAGAGCACTGGGAATGCTGTGCTTCATTAAGCTGGAGCAAAGATTCTCATAAACATCATCTTGCTCACCAAAGAAGAGAAAAGCAGAAATCTCGTGTTAGTACAAAATAAGAGAAAAATAAAAAGTAAAATAAAATACTCCGGTTCCAGAGCTTTAAATAGAGAGAAGTGAAATGTGAAAGAATTGCATGCACGCTTTTTTCCTTAGTCATTCAGTGGAAGGTGGAGTAGTTAAGTCTGTGGCGCCTTTAAAATGATTCATTATTTCCATAGAAGCCAATTGATGTTTATCCTTCAAATTGCTCTGCGGACATTAAAATAATGGAGAATTATATTTGCTTTTAATTTTGTTTCCAGACAGCTTGGCCTGAACATTTATGATGTGACTTGGAAACCGTATCAGATAGTGATTTATAGCTGCTGGTAATTGTGTGAAGATTGAAGATACGCTGGATGCCGCTCTCCTTTGCTTTTTTTTCCTCTTTGCCTCCCCCATTCTTTTGCTTACAGAGTGCTCTTGAGTGTAACGTGGTGAAAGGCCAACATCTCTGCCTTTATTGCTTTTCCTTGTACAAGCCACAGCAAATGAAGATTTTATTTCTCCCTAACACCAGGCTGTGTGAAATTAATTGTGGTTTGTGTTTTGATAATTGGTTTTTGGTTTGGGTTTTGTTTTTTTTTTTTTCCTTTGCATAAGTTTTGACTGGTTTTGTGTTGTCACCTTTGTAGGGTGCAAAGAGTGGTGTTTTTTAGTTAAGCTGGATGAGAATCATATGCAAAACATGAATGGGGAGGGGAAAAACTTCTCTTTGTGGTAAGGCATCTGTTGAGTGTATGGATGTCAAATCTGCTCCCCAGGTGAGCCAACACAAGTATTCATACCTAAATTTATCTATCAGGTCTTATGGGTCAAGGAATTTGTTATTCCTATTTTCCTAAATTCATTTTTCCTGCACAGTTTTATCTGCTTTTTCCTTCTCCTGAGTAAAAAGCTGTTCTTAAGAGTTCTGTGCATAATATAATTTAACAGAAGGAAACAAAGGGGATTTTGTGGACTGTAATTGAAAAGCCCAGTGAAGGTTAGGCAGATTTTGAGAACTTTTCTAGTCATGTTGCAAACTCCAAAATAAATCATTTAAATCTAAAAAATTCCAAATTATTATTAAAATTTTCCAGGACACTCTTTTCGTATTGAATATAAGAGTGTTCCTTACAGTTGTTTCCTGCCCTGACAAACATCATCTGTGTGATACTGGTACATGCTACTTTTGTGGTTTGGTCCTGCACATGCAGCAGTGTGTTTTAGGTTTGTTTGTTTTTTTAATTTCTGTACATAAAAGGAAGCCTCAAAACATGCAGCAAGTGCATTTGGGCCCACTTAGGAATTCCAGTTGGCACTGTGGCCTGAACCAGCTGTTTTTCAGCACCGTAAGGAATTATTTTTAATTCTTATCTTAGTTAAAAACGAGCCTGTTTAGTTTTACTTTTGTTCCCAGCCTGTTTGCTTTCTCATTCTCATGCCCCAGAGCATTTCAGTTTCAGTCACTGCATGACATTGCTGAAATCAGGGCTGGAATGAAGTCACAAAATGAACAGCAAGCCAGTCTTATCCAAAAGTCATGGGAGGGAACTGCATTGACAATTATTGGCAAAGATGAGCAAATGAACGCTGACCATTGTGAAATTAAGTTCACCTTATCTTAGCTCCTCGTTGTTTTGTTTTGTTTTATCAAATTAGTTGTTTGTTAGTGTTTGCAAATGTTGTTCATGCCGCTATTCCCGAGTATCCGGCCTTGGAGCTTCAGTGAGAAAAGTGGTTTGGAAAGAATCCAAATCAGTTCATGCAGAGGGTGTGCACGTTAGTAGAAAACAACTGACAAAGGCTGAGCATGGATTTTGTCTGCACTTTTACCCTAAAAGAAGACTCCCTGCATATATATCTGTGTGCATGTGTGTGTATGTGCATATGTACAGTACATGTGCATATATGTGATTACATTAATCTCAAATTTTCAGCAGTTTACTCTCTTGCTTTCACATTGTCACAGTGATTTACACTAAATTCCAGGTTTCCTTGCCCTTTAGGGAAACACATGATCATCTACTTTCTGAGTAATGGTCTACAAAGCATGTGCTGCTCTTCGCTGTTTTTTAGTAGAGACTCTGAAAAGTAAAATATTTTTTAATGTTCTCATGCATTCCATTTGTAATAAATTTTAGAAAATAATAATTTAAACACCTGTGATTTTACCTAGTCAGACTAGTCTGATTGTGCTGTAAATTAACCCTGAGATAGATGAACCATTCCTACTCCTTGACTCACATAACTCATCACAGCCTGCCATTTGGCTGGGACAAATCTGCAGGGTCTCAGAGTTAAGGTCACCAACAGCCACGAGAGCACAGGGAGCTGGAGGCCCTGTGGCAGAAATGCACCGTGGAGAAGGGCTCTCCCACTTGGTACCAGTCATGGAGAGCAATGCTGGCTGCTTGGCAAAGTACCAGCACTGCTGTACAGAGCCTCTGCTTACAGCCCGCTGAGTCAGACTTGTTTACTTCACAGAAGTATTAATCTCTGCCTCTCATTGTCAACTACTCCTGGCTTAATAGAATTTCAAGCTGTAGATGACACAGTTTTGCTGAAAATATGAGGCTTCTGTTGCATTTGGAGTGATGTATTCTGCCTCACTCCCCTTTGGTTCGTTTGCCATGGCTGAGGTTAAGATGGATAATTAATTACTCCCATCCCAAGCCTTGTCCTTTAATTTAATGATTTTCTTTAGCATCTGCCAGAATCTTCTGCATGCACTCCTGAGATGTTAAGCAATGAAAAAGCCATTAAGTTAAATTCAGGCATTAATTTTTTTTCAGTAGGATGAAATAGCACTCCCGTAGATTAAGCAGTTTCTGGTTTATGTTATTTCATAGCATGGCAAAGAAATGTGGGAAGAGGCTGGTTCTCTGCCTGCAGGAGAGAATGGTGAATGGAAGGTGCTGCAGTCTTAGCAAGAAGCAGGACATGAGAAGGGATCAGTGCAGTGAAACATCTGATTGCCAAGGGCCTGATGTCCACGTTATGCAACTGGGAAGACAGAGGGAAGAGGTTTAGCTATACTTATCTAATATATCACTTTCCTCAGAAATGCTTTTTTATTGCCTGTAAAGCCTTTTCTGAGAACGAAGCAGTGTCAAGTTGTGTTGCTCTGTTCTTTGTGTTTTGAGGTGCATGAATGCTGTCATGACTCATTCCTGGCTTTAATCACTCTCCTTCTCAGTCTGACCAATTCTCCGTGCTCTTTGCTTGCCACTCCAAGTAACTCCTGCATTCTTTTCACAGACATAACTTCCCCATTTAACGAACTATGTATTTTAGCTTTTTCTAAGAAATACATGAAAGCAAATTAGCACAAAATCTGCTGCAGTGGTCTCTCTGGGAAACTGCACGTACACCTGCTGAGTCCCAAACAGTAGCAGCAGGACTGAGCTTGTGTGTCAGAGACACAACAAAGGGAAAATGGTCACTCTTGGAGTGCCCTGAAACAGCAATTCCATGCAGAATTTATGGTGGGTTTTAGTGCACCATCTAGTGAGGCTGAAATGTCACTTCTGCATTGAAATTCCATATGCCTTCTGCCTTTTACTTCTGTGTACATCCAAGTCTCACTGTTCTTTATTAAGAATTTAAAAATCCTCAGACCTTTGCAATGGTACTGTATAGCAATTCACAGACTTGACAGCTTTAAGGTTTAAAAAAATCCCATTTTTACTCCATTTCAGTTTTGGTATAGCTGCCCAATATGCAATTGTTGGAGAAGAATGTTGTTGCTACCATACCAGAATATTATAATTTAGTTGCATGGAGATATTTTACTAATCTCAGTATATGCTTGGGATGAATTTCATTTATCTAGGCCTAAGCACTGAACATTAGTTGTTCTAGATTAGTTGTTCTGTAGTTAGTACTCAGGCATCTCTCAGGAGAGTCTCCTCCCATCCCAAGCCATGTCTCCAAAAAACTGTTTGTGCAAATAGGCCCTGGCTATTGACCACGTCTCTACAGGGAGCCTGAACAATTTATTCAGATGGCTTGAGTCAGCTGCAGATGGGGAAAGCTGTGAAATCAGATATGATGGAATTCCAGAGTCTTTGCAGACCGATGATCGATCTATTCAGCGTTGTTCTCTGTATTTAAAGAATTATCTTGTGTTATTATTTTTCCACCTGCAGCCGCTTTAACAGAAGCTGTGAAGAGTTCACCACAGCTCGAGGCAGTGCCTAGCAGCACTGTTCACTCCTGTTGTCCCACCTGTGTTATTTCTCTCCTCTCTAGTCTTCTGGCACCAGCATCACGGTGGACATCGCTGTCATGGGGGAAGCCCACGGGCTCATCACAGACCTCCTGGCCGACCCTTCGCTGCCCCCCAACGTCTGCACGTCCCTGAGGACCGTGAGCAACCTGCTCAACACACAGCTGACCTTCCAGGCCATCCACAAGCCCAGGGTGAACCCCTTGGTGTCCTTCAGTGAGAACTACACCTGCTCCGACTCGGAGGAGTGTCCGGAGAAGGGAGAGAAACTAGCAATTCCCAAGGTGAGTGCTGGAGCCTGCCTCTCCCTGAAGGGACACCGCTGGGCTGTCAGACATCACTGGGCTTTTTGTGTGAATTGCCACCTCTTCTTCCTTCCCTTAATCAGAAACCTACAGAAAAGTCAATTAAAAAGTTCCTATTGATGACGTTCAGGTGCTTTGGATCAAGTCTAAACTGTTGTGTACCCCACAAACTAACAAAAATATCACAGTCATTGGTATGACAAATACTGTGAGCTTGTGGAAGTTGTCTTGAGAAGAAAAAGAAGACAGAACCATAAATACATATGTATAATACTGCCTTTTTAAAATGGCTTTATGAATGCTCAGGGATCAGGCAGGAAATAACCAGTGTTAACCACCCACACTTAGCAAGTGAACAGCTAGAAAGAGCACATCACATTTGAAGTAGTGTGAATTGTAGGTTTGTTGCTAATTAGCTGTCCTGCAAGGCTTACATTTCATTTCTGAAACTAAACCCAAATGCTTTTGTAGTGCAGCCTCCCTTGTAAAATTAAATATAGGCAGAGTACATTGCACAGGCGAATGCTTTTATGTTTTTACAGTTTAAATGGCACAGCCAGTCGTTCATTCCAGCATTTCCAGGCATCTGAATTGCAACGCTCGTGATTCTTTTATTACAGTTTAGTGTGATGGTAATTGCCACCCTATTTGCCTGTTTAGCAGCTGTATGTTCAAAATGGATGTTCACAGGTTTTTAAGCACATTTCCCAGTTTATTTTAGTGACCATGTCTATAATGGCTGTACCCCAGGCTCTGAGGGGAAGAGTTAAATGGAAAAGCACAGCTATCACAGGAGAACACACAGGGAACAGATATCAGTTTGCTGTTGCATAATACCCTGTGAGGAGAAGAGAAATGAAGGATGAAGAAATGAGTTAATGCTACAGAGAACTAATTTGACTGAAGAATTTATTGACCTAAATGTATCACAGTCCATAAAATAAATAGTTTGCATGTCTTTATTTAAAGTGTCTAAAAGCAGATTTAGGACCTTCACCTTAACCGTCTGACACTGAGCATTTTGTGTAAGGAGATAATGTGTTAACATATTTATCTGCAACTTTGAGCTTCAGAACCACAGATGTCTTCTATCTCATATTTCTTAACCCTCTGGCAAAGTCCAAGCTCTCCATTGCAGATATATTTATTTTAGTTCTTAACTATAAACACTTTACGAGAACTTCACAAGAGAAACAGCTTAAAAAATTATAGGATCTGCAACAGCAAATCTGGCTCCAAAAAAAGATCCTTTATTTTCTTTGCCTTCAAAAATTAAAAAAACCCAAACATGTGAATCCTGTTATTTGGAGAAATGGAGGAGTCAGGTTAAAGAAAAAAGGGGTTCAATAAAAATCTGCTGTAAACAGTGATGCTTCCTCTAAGCTTTTTGAAACATCATATCCCAGAGCATGAAAGTTTTGTTTCAGTGTGTAATCTTAGGGTTGGGTAGATGTGGCAGGGGAAAAAAGTTGGAGCTCCCCTGCCTTATTTTTCTTACAGCCTTTCTTGCCTTGAATCTCTGATTCTGAGGATTCATGACAGTTTCAATCAGAGCAGTTGAGGTTGAAAGTGCATCTGGAGATTGTCTAGTCCAGTCCTGTCCCTCAGCTCAGTGAGGAGAAATTTTCTCTAGGCTCAGCCTAGGTCAGGTTGCTCAGGAGGATGTCCAGTTGGGTTTTGAGTATCTCCATGAATTTAGATTTCACAGCTTCTTCAGGCAACTTCTCTGTGTTCAGCCATCCTCACAGTAAAAAAAAAAAATTTCCTACATTTTAATTAAATTCCTTGTACTTCAGTTTTTGCTCCACTGCCTCCTGTCCTGTCACTGGGCACCCCTGCAAAGAGCCTTCTTCTTTACACCCTCCCTTCAGCTATTTGTGTACCCTGGTAAGATCTACCCTGAGACTTCCCTTCTTCAGAGTGAGCAATTCCACCTTCTCCAGCCTTTCCTTTCATGGCAGATGCTTCAGTCACCTTTATGGCCTTGCTAACTTGTTTAAGTGCCTTTGGCCACATCAGGTGTTGAACATCTGTGGCTATGGGGCTGTGGAGATATATATAGATATATATATACATATAAATATAGATATATATACATGGTTTTTTGGATTTGAGATAGGGAGGATGGTCCGGACTCTCCAAGCATTGAAAGCACTGGCTGTGTTTGAAATGAATAATCCCTGGGAGAACCCAGGTTTAAGGGTGTTGTCAGACAGAATGAAGCAAAGGGAAATGGGTTCATTTGTGTGTGTGTGGAGGTTTTGTGAGCCTGTACAAACTGTGAGGACCTGGTTTCTCCGCAGCGCTTACGGAGAAGTTTGCCTCCAGGACTGCTGAGACGAGTGTCCTCAACCTGGACCACAACAACATCAGCCACAGGACTGCCCACTCTGGAGCCAGCTCCAGTGAGAAGGGACCGCAGTGCCAGCATCAAACCTCACGAATCTTCTTCATCCAGGTTACAAAAGGCCTCCTCTCACTTTTATGTTTCTCTTCGGGCACATTTCTTTGGTTCTGTGTTCAAAATGCATTCAAAAACGCTGGCTGTGAACTGTGGTAGAATTACTTCTTTGTGTTTCTCTAAATTGATTTGACAAAGAAGCAGCATTCCCATTTTTTGTCAGATTATGCCAAAATTATTCATATTATTGGGCAGAAAAATACATTTTTAAAAATCTGTTTATGCTAATGAAGTGCAGAACTGCCCAATAAAATTGGAAGAAAGGCAAGATATCTGGTTAAAGTTTTCTTGATATGCAGGGGTTGCCTATGTAGTTATTGCCTAGCCAAGAAAAACTGCAGCAATTAACGCAGCCATTTCTAATAACACACCTACTGCTGTGGTCCTGTCATTAAACCAGTTCCTAAAGCACTTCTCCACCTCCCATTCTTCTCAGGGCCTGATCCCTGAGCTGGAATCATGCAGCACATGGTCCTCCTGTGAAATGGAGAGAGAGTTGTGTCTGCTCAGCAGCTTTTAACCAGCAGCCAGCTTGTTTGGGGAACGTGCAGAGGTTGTAATAAAAGTTGTACTAGCTCCACACTGTGTCATTAGAACAGGATTTCCTCTTTCTGGCTCCGTGAATACTTTTCTGTTCTAGTCAGAGGAGCAGAGCCTTCAAAGAAGGTGTGGAGCAGGAGTGAGAACAAAGTTCAGGTCCCCTCCCTACCTAGGCAAGGGCCATCATCTTGGAGCTGGTGGATGAAGAAAGAGTGTGGAGACACTGGGGAAGGGAAGATCAGAATGAAAGCACTACGCTCAAGGGGGGAATTCAGAGCTGTGACATCAGAAGGCTCACGTGCTTTTCTGAAATTCCAAATTTGGTGCTGGTAGTGGGGAAGAAGATGGGACTTTGGAAGGCCCAACATCACCAGTGCTGGCTGTTGGACAGATTGGGGGAATGCAGCCCCAAAGGGCAGCTTTCTTCCAAGGCAGGCCTTTTTTCAGATGCCTCAATCTGTCCCGTGGATGAGGCTGTCACACAGGGTGTGGAGGTGCTCAAGGCAGCCTGCAGAGTACCCTGAAAGTCTCGTGCAAGGAAAACACGTGGTTTGCCAAAGCTCCCTTTGTGAGAAGTCCCATCTGCCTCACTAAAAGTAAATATCAGGAAGCTGTAACCAAATGCAAACGTTCTTCACTCACAGACCTGTGGTTCCTGGGGTGCCTTTGATTTATGCTGTTGATCCCACTCTCACGTAGCATGTAAGTGTCCCAAGATGGGAATCAGAGGGAGAGCAATTAAATATTATTGTTGGTCCTTTCCTGTGGTTGTTATATAACCCTGCATGAGGAGCCAGCTGAGCAGGCTATCAATTCTTCCTATGTTTAATGTCATAGCCAGTTGTGTAATTATAGCTCTGTCAAGCCTCCCAGCCTACTGTTTGCACTACTTCTTTCTCAGTAGGAGAAACAATGTGTATTCCAGAAAGGGGGGAAATGAATCCTATAAGTCTAGCTTTAAAAATATTGGCAGACCAAGAGAGATCTGCTTTCAAGGAGAATTTTGAACAGAAGAGAAAAAAATTTATCTTGGTTATCTGCCACTTCCCCTGTACCAAATTCAAGTGCTCCACTGGTCACAGAGAAAGAAACATTTCGTAAGTTGAACAGTAGGAGAGAGGCTGACACTGGAATTGCCCTGTGGCAGATTCTGTAGTTACAAAACATGCAACTTGTTCCTCACCATGTGGGACATGACTTCTGGATTTCTGTAGTGGCATATTTGCAAAAATCCCCTGTAACTGTCAGTTTGAGATTGGTAATTCTGTATTCTCCCAACCCCATGTCACTGAACTGCGTAGACATTATACTGAAAAAATAATAGAGCTCCCACATTCTTTCCCTCGAACACTTTTATATCAAGTGATTCTCCTGCAGGAACTCAAAAGAATGTGAGTCAGAGATTTTTGGTTTGGTTCATTTGGGTTATTTTACTCTACAGTGGGCCAGTCTGTTATATTCTTCACGACAATTAAAAAACAAAGCAAAATTGTAGAACAAACAATTAAAAAAAAAATCTGTATTCTTTCTTTGCCTCCCTTCATCACAGATTTTAAGAATTTGGGCCCATGAAGACAGCTAGCAATTATTTTTGTAGGTAGTACTTAACTACTCCAAAACAAGGTGTTTGCAGAGGTAACACAGCGTCGCATGCTTTTTTCTTTCAGAATGATCTTTTTTTCCTTCAAGTTTATTTTTTTCAAGCTCCGCTGGAGCTATGCTACTTTAAAAGTCTATCTCCAGCGTTGAGTGTCATCTCATCACTTTAATGTGAGGCTGTGAGGAGAAATGTGGAGCCTGAGCTCCCTGGCAGACCTGTCCAGAGAGCTCACAGCTTGATAAGAGCCAGTGCTGCATCCCTGAAAGAAGCTGACATTTGATGGGTATCTTTCAGGAAAGTGATTATAAATACAGTTTTCTTGCTGTGCAGAAGATTTTGGCCTCTTCTGCCATGCAATTACCACCCAAAGGCTAAAAGCATGAACCCATGCTGCTGCAGGGGACTGACATTTGCTCCCCACACACAAGGACACGTGCACCCAGATTCCCTCAGCACAATTCTCTTGCACTGATGGCTCCAGGGTCTGAGGGGTCTTGTGTTTGTGGGGTTCCCAGACAAAGGAAGGTGATGAGTCTGACTCCATGTTCTCAGAAGGCTAATTCATTATTTTAAGATATATACTATATTAAAGAATGCTATGCTAAACTATACTAAAGAATACAGAAAGAATACAGACAGAAGGCTAAAAAGATAATAGTGAAAACTCCTGACTCTTTCTAGAGCCCTGACACAGCTTGACAGTGATTGGCCATTGAGTTAAAACAATTCACATGAAACCAATCCCCTGTTGGATAAACAATCTCCAACCACATTCCAAAGCAGCACAACACAGGAGAAGCAAATGGGATAATATTGTTTTTCTTTTTCTCTGAGGCTTCTCAGCTTCCCAGGAGAGAAATCCTGGGCAAAGGGATTTTCCCAGAAAATGTGACTGCCACAGAGAGGGGCATTTTTTTGGGATACAGCAGGTATTTCACCTGGTTAGGGCATGAAGGGGCACAGCACTGACCACAGCCACACAGGATGCTTCCAGTCCTCATCCTGAGGAATTTCTCCAGTGCCCCGAGGGTGGTTGTGTACCTGCAGTGGCACCAGCAGCAGAGGACACTGGTTTTCCCGTTCTGCTGAGAATATAGGTCACTTCTGGCTCTTTTGAGGAGGTGTTAAAAGAGAGCATAAACTTTTAACTTACTTCAAGTCAACTTTTGAGCCTCTTCGTGCTGTCTGAACAATATAATGATGGCATCTTCGTGTAAATAAGGCAAATAGGTCTCAGCACTGAGGGAAGTCCAGCTTTGGACTGTCTGCCCTGTAAATATTTTTGCTGAAGGTGGTACTGAGTGCCTCACAAACACCACTTCAGCCAACCCATGGATGTTTCCCTCGCCAGATTTTGAGCTATCTCAGTATCACGTACTCCTTGCTGCAGCTCCTGCCTTGGTAAGATCTGCCACTGGGGCTTTTTCCCGTGTTGAATGTTGCTTGTCTGTGCTCTGCTTTGGCAGCTCTGACTCCTGGAACAGCTCCATTCTGATGACCATCACCAAGAGCAGGTCCTTCTCCACCTCCTACGCCGTGTCCTCTGCCAACCACCTGAATGCCAAAAGGCAGAGCCGCCAAGGTGAGTGGGCACAATCAGCCTGGCCTGACTGTGCCAGTCAGTCACATGGACTCTGTTTGCTTCATGGTGGAAAAAGCGTATTCTTTATTCACTTTTTATACAGTTTTACAGACCTCCTGGGTGACTCCAGTTGGTCAGGAGCTTTCTTGTCAATTATTTATTGGTTATTAACAAGTTGTTGTTCTGTATCGATTGGTCACTCAAACCCCTGGTTGTACGTGCAGGAAAAGTTGTTTGTGAGAGATAGTTTTCATTTTTCTGTCTGATGGTGTAAAAACAGTTTATACAGGTGCAAGTTGTTTTTTCACCCAGGGACAGATTGTTATGCTGACGAACTGTTCACACCAGGATTGCTTTCACATGGGAACTTGCAAAGTGCTGGCTTTGACAAGGCCAGCCACTGATTTCAGGAGAGCAGGCTTGATTTTATGAATTTTATAAAAAATCTTTATAATTTTCCTACCTTAACTGCTCCCTGTGACTAGCTGATACATCTGCTTTTGTTCTCTGTCCAACCTGCTGCTTTTGTTATTTTTCCAACAATATAATATGGTTATTTCTTTTATTTAAACCAAAAAACCCCAACACAGTTGCTTAAAGTACTATAGGTTGTAGTCATGCCCTTTGTAAATGTTTTGACTCTTTTGATTTATAGAAGTTAGGCATGACACGATGCAGCAAGTGAAATACTAAATTGTGATTTATATCTGTAATTCCCTTGGCTATAGCAGGGTGTTTTGCATAACATTTGTGGCATTAGCTGTCTGTGCATATTCCTTGAGTGAGATTTCCTTAAGCACAGCCTACATGAATCCATTTTGAGCTGGAAGCAGAAACTGATTTGTCTCATGCAAACGTATCCAAGACACAGCCTTTGTAACTCAGAGGTCTACCTCTGTATATTCACTACTGAGAATATACAGGTCATTCTTACTGATTTTTAGACATGAGAAATACTGGTTTTTTACTCAGCCTTTTGAGCCTTTTAAAAAAACATTACTCCTGAATTTCTTTGCTGAAAGAAATTAAGGTGACTTTGGAATGGATAATGAAATGTGTAATATGACAGCCATGAAGCAGCTTTAGTCCACAATAATGTGCTTCTCCTCTCTACTAAAACAATACAGCATGCTGTTTACCCTTGCTTCAGCTCATGATCCAAAATTATCACAAGACTTCCTTTTTCATACCAGCCTGCTTTTTATCCAAACATAAATACTGTTGAGATACTCAGAGATCCTGGCTACCCAGCTATCAGATAGAAATTGTTAGATGGCTGAGGCCTGACATTGGAAAAGTCAGAGAATCCCAGCTTGGAGATGAGTTTGAAGATAGGGCTGTACAATTATTTTCCATTTCTGGTGCTGTCACATCACATCACCTTTTCAAACTGAAGAGAACCACACAGAAGATCTTTTCTTGTACAAAGCTGCTTTGTTTTACCAGAGTGAAGATTAAGTAGCACTATACCATCTTGAAAGGTAACAGTCACATAGGCAAATAAATAAAATTTCACCTGGAAGATAATGCAGAGTAACAAGAATCCAGGGATTTGCTTTAGAACAAAACAAACATTTGACTTGTGACTTTCAGAGATTATCCCAGTAAACTGAGAGGGAGGGGAGTGGGTGTGTAATATCTTGTACTTGGAAAACAACAATTATCAAGCCCATCAATCAGTTTTACATTTAGCAATTTCTGCTTTCAGAAAGTATTAATAATCATCTCTGTTGTCCAAAGACAAGAGCTCCCCCATGATGGAGGAAGGTCTCCATTCCATCATGAGCAATTCCTGGGGATGCTGGTGGAGAGGAGTAGAAGTTTTGCATCAGTGCTTTATGTAGCAGATTGATATTACAACAGTTTAGACTATTTGCAATCATGTCTTTTTAGTTATGATTTGTTTTCATGTTACAGCTAAATAATTCTTTAAATTTGCACTAGTTAATACAATTTCGACTTTTATTTATTAGCTCCATTGGTAATATACAATTATTATTATTAGAAGTTGATCTAGCTAAATCTGTAAATACATAAATTTGTAAAAAGTGTCTTTAATTATGCATGAAACATTCACATTTTAAAATATTGCTAGGTCTACCTATATTGGAAAAAAACTCAAATGTTTTCATATGTAATTTTGCACCACATTTAAGTTGCTGGTTTATATCTTCAACACTGCACATTTGAAGAAGTTCTGGAAGACCTAAGTGCATGGATGTACTTAAAATTTCTTTTTGTATTTTTATTCTTCACTTATCTTGATTGTGAAAAAATCCTTGCTGTAGCAAGACACATTTTCTCTCAGTTTTGCCAGTAAATGGTTGAATGTTGGATTATTAAAAAAGGTTGGCTTTTTTCTGGTAATTTTATTCGTGGTTACCTTCCCTGGTAAATTATTTTCTTAAAAAAAAAAAACAACATAAGTACACACAACAAAAAGTATTTCAAAAGATAGGATGTCTACTAGCAGTAGAAAGCTTGCTGTGATTAGAGAAATCATTGTGAAAACTGCTGTTTAAATTCTCAGGACTTGTTTCAGATTGCTGAAAGAAGACCATATGTATTGCATCCTCTAAGAGTTATGGATATTATTTGTAACATATATCTCAAAGATAGACAATAATCCAACTCAATCCCCTGTGCAACTAACAGACTGTGAAATGTTTCTAAAGACACATTTTTGTTGGATGGAAAGCTGATATCACAATGAATTCGTAAATGTGAAACAGAGGTTTCCTGTATTTTAAAGCCACTTCCCTGTGTCCTGGCCATCTGATAACATTTTAATTGCTCTCAAGGCTGTAGTGTTCTGATCTCAAGACTGGCATTATATCCTGCTTGCAATCATTGAATTAAGACAGTAAATACATACCACATTTGCTGGAGAAATACCCTTAATCAAAACACAGATGCTGGATATCTCCAAATTACAGCACAGTAACTATCAGATTTTTTTTTTAACTCTTGGATTGTCAACAGTAAATCATGTTTTAGCCTCCTATCACAGTAAGGGAAAAAACACTGGAACTGTACATGTATATCCTGCAAGGTTAATATTTCATAAACTTAGATCAACATATTGCCTTGTTTTAAGATAATTTTTGTGTCTGGAATGCATTTAGATAGAGGGCAAAATTCAGACATAAAACCCCTCCAACCTCCTAAGGTCTTGCTGTCCTCTGACTTTGAAGATGAACGTGGTAAATTAAGTGGGGCTGAGTTCCTGCAAACCTCAGAACAGGAGGTAACTCAATTTCCATGCATTTCCTTTCAAGACAGATGAAGTTTGCTCCTCTGCACTTGGATCATTTTGTCTGAGACTAGGAATTGTGAAGTGGATTCCAAGAGAGGGCTGCACTTTGATTAAACACGGGCTGCATTTCACCTTGGCAGGTGGAATGAGGGACATTTCACCTTGGCTCAGGTGGAATGAGGGACAGAGAGAACTGCACCTTGCTGGTGTTGCACGTGTGGATGTTGGCAGTTTCTGTGCTCCAGCTCAGGTGTACACTAGCATGTGCTGCAGAAATGGTTGCAAGTCTCCCTTAGTGACCAACAGATAGAGAAAAATAAACTCAAACTGACGATCAAGGCCAGAATCTTTGAGAAATGGCCCCAGAAGCCCAGTACTTTGTATAATGTATGACTACTAAAAATTGCTCTTTTTGTTTTATTGCTAGTCTTCAAACATGTAGAAATCCAGATTTTGTGGCAATGTGTGTAAGCCTTCCTTGTCCCTGCTTTAGAATGGTGAGAGAGAAGCTGCAGATGGCTCTGGGACCTGCCTGTCTGGGGCTGTGTCTCTGTCACCAGCTCATGTTGGTACCAGCAGTCGTGCCACAAACTCCTCTTTCATTTCATGCCTGTCCACTCAGTGCATCCTGCTCACCAGGGAAAATATGCTTTGTGTTTTGAGCCAGATCTTCAGCAGGTAAAAGTGGCTGGTAGCAATGGAAGTTGGTCACTCTGTGACAGCCCTGGGCTTGGCTCAGAGTGGAGAAGGGAATTCTGTTATCTCTTTTGGTTTTGGAGACTCTGCTGGTGCATCTCAAGAAGAGTATTTCTGCACGGTGAACTAGTAAAGCATCTGCCACTTGTGTTAACTGACAAGACTCCTCTTGTCCTTGGCCAGGTATCCCACCAAATATTTCACCTCTCACCTCCCCGTGCCATTCACCGATTCAGGGGACGCCTGCCACGAGTCCTACTGGAAAAACATCTTCTGTGTCATTTCCAGAGCCTACAGACACTGACACCAAGCAGGGCCTAAAGCCACACAAAGTCTTAACTTCTACTCAGAGTGCACCTAGCCTGTCAGACCCTATTATCAGCCCCTCCATCATCTGCAGCAGGTAAGATGGTAATTTGACATGCCTTGCAATCATTTCACACTGTTTTCATGAACACGTTCTGTTGGCCCATGTACAAGCTTTTGTGATTTACTGCAGTGTTTATATTGATATTTCAGGTTTATTGTACTTCACTAAATGTGTAGATCAATGCTACAAAATACTTTTGAAGTGGGAGATTGTTGGCTATATTTATTGCTATGTTTATTGCTTTTACTCCTGTCAGGTGGACAGCCTGGTTCCTAAACAAATTCTTTGTCAATGACCTGCAGATCCCAAAGTTGGATTTTTTGGGATCTGCAGGTCATTGACAAAGAATCTGTTGGATTTCATGTTTACAACTTGTGTTTCTGGAGCCATGCCCTTGGCATGAGCAGTCACCTTTAGGTCACAGGCCAAGACTTGCACGGCAGGCACCTGATGTAGCCTAGAAACATCTGACTGCTAGGGCCAGCAGTGCCTGAAGACTCTGTGATTTTGAACCTTCACAAAAATCACTCAGGAGCCCACTCAGGAGGAGTGGGTCCTGTCTTCCTTAGGCAGAGTCAGGTTAACTACTATGGGGATTTTTTTTTTCCAGAAGTCAGCTGCAGATGAGTTTTTTTCTACTGCTAAGAGCTTCAGTAACACAGTTTAATTTTTTACTTTAAAGTACACCTTTATTAGGGAACACAGACCAGATCTGCTTTGCAAAATTAGCATTTTAGAAAGAAAGTTGTTCTGCATATCTTCTCAGAAAGGATTCAGTTGCTAAATCAAATTACTGGAGTTTGCAGTATGTGTCCAGTTCAGAACACTGGGAAACACTGGCATTCCCAAGCCTGTCCCAGTGCAGTTTCAAGGTTGCTTTACTCTCCAGATGTTGCTTTTGGCCATAGCACGAGTGGCCAGCCAGCAGACAGCATGGCTCTTATCAAGTTTGACTATCTTTGGAAATAGTTTTTAGTTTCTGCCTTCAGGCACATGACTTTGGATGTGTCTCAGTGTGCTGTGTGCAAGGCTAGGAAGTGGCTGTGAGAAAGTCAAAATTGAGACTGCAGCTTTGCTCTAGGGAGTCATCCTCGCTGGAGTTTGGAGTAGGATCCAAACAGGCTTTTGAGATGGATTTTGATAACTAAATAGAAACTGAAGTGCTTTTTAAGAGTTTTCCAAAGGAATACCAGAATTGGGATTTGGAGGGATTAATTTGAAATTAAAACTATATTACACAACAGAAATATAGCATAAAGGTGCTGCAGTCTTACTAAGCTGTGCCTTTATTATCACTGCAATAAAATTCTGTTATTTCATGAATGGCATTCATTTCTAGAAGCCTTCTATTTAAAAGAACAGTTAAAAATTGCATTAAAAACGTCAAAAAATAGTCAGTGTAAGGTTGTTGTAGGTAGTAAAGAAATTAATACCTTTTTCATCTTGTTTATCAGCCTGACTGATACAAGATTTGTTTGCTTGGCTATGCACTACAGGTATCATTGAATACAGATTAGCATTTTAATCTGGAAGTCTTTCAGGAGCTCATGATGTTTGCAGGGCACACCAAGCTCCAGGATATGTTTGGATGACCCAGCCAAAAGCTAGCTGGCACAGGAATTAAGCCATTTTTATATGTTGAACTTCAAATGGTGCAAAGGTTCTAGTACAAAATTTAACCAATCCAGGTAATTCTGTAATAGCTGATTTGTGATGACAGTTTTATATAAGATATGCCGCAAAATGCTGACTCAAACCAGAGAAAATGTTAACATGTCAGGTTGTAATTAGGGTTTAAAGGGAACTATACACGAGGAATAAAGCTTTTTAATGGAAGGAAAGAGGCAGTCATTTGAAAAGGTCATCATGTTGTGATCCCTCCCAAAATGTGTTTCTGTTCTGGAAATGATGAAGCAAACTCTGCCCTCTTGGTTCTTATGTACTTGGTATGCTGTCACTGAAGTAATGATAAAATATATTTTTCCTTCTTAAGAGGAGCATATTCAAATTTTAAGCAAGAAGAGTGAAGCCAGATAATGACTGTGTTCAAACTGAATTCTACAAGATTGTATGAGACTCTGGCACGGTTTCATAATTTTAATTTGTCTTTATAGGGCATCTGTAATATAGAACTAGGGGGTTTATTTTGTGCTGGTATACTTACAGAATAATAAAAAAAATATTTAAAGAAATCACATGGCTGAGGTTTACTGCTGAAAACACAAATTCACAAATTTAATGGTGGTGGGCAGTTAATCCAAGATCTTTCTGTATTTTTGTCCCGAGATCCAATAAAACTTTAGCACTCTCCTGTGGTTTTGTCTGGAGAACATACCCTGGACCATGACTTATGCTGTATGACATAATCTCACACTGCCAGTGGGAAATCCTTTCACACAAGACTGTCTAAGGCACGTGGTTCTTCATACTGTGTGTGTTTCTTGATGTATTTCAGCTGTGGCAGACCCTACAACCAAATAGAAGCTGGTGATGGGACACTAAATAGAAATGATGCTACTACACACACCCTGAACAGAACAGGTAATTCTTGGTCAAAAACACCTCGTTCCCTCAAATTAAGTAATTATCCACTAAAAGGGCAGATGAGCTTGTCTGCCATAAAAGGAGCACACACACAGGTGAGTCCATACAAATTGTGTTTGATGATTCCATGTCCAAATGCTCCTTCCCTTTTCATATGTGCAGCACGTACAAAATGCTTATGAAGTTAAAATATAAAGGATATACTGTTCCTCTCAATTTATTTAAATAATGGTCCTCAATTTTTTTTTCTCTCTCTTGATTCCCTGCTGCCATTTTTTACACTCTGCAGGGCGTATCTTCAGTGCCCTCGGACAGATTGTCTGGCATCGGCGCCAGCCAAGCAGCACATATGTAATATGAGTCAGAGCTCCTGTTGCTGCTACTCAGAAGGTCACAGGCTGGCTTCCATGAAACCCTTGCTGTTCACACCACAAGCTCTGTGATTTGTGTTTGCAGATGATCCTGCTCAAGCCACTTCTGACTACGAGACCAACAACAGCGACAGCAGCGACATCGTGCAGAACGATGACGACACGGATTGCTCCAAGGAGCAGCCACGGAAGGGATCTGGCTGTAGGTCCTACACACCTGAGACCATCATCCTGCATCCCTTGACTCCACCTGAGGTAGCTCCTCTGAGTTCCCCCAGCACAACAGAATGAGTGTATGCTGATGCTGAGGGGGAAAAAAAAACAAAACTAAAACCAAACTAACCAAAAACCCAGAGCCCCACAGAAAAAATGTGGTCTAAGGGTGCTGCAAGGTATTACTGTCTTTAACCACAAATATTGCAGTGTGATGAATGAGTGGTGATTGTCTCACAGCATTCAGATATGAGCTTGGTTGAGATGCAGAGGGAAAGCTTTGTTCAGTTAGGTTTTCCACAGTCTGTTGTGCAACTGAATTAATAATCTGCAGTTGGCAGGAGCTCTTGAAAAATTTATTGTAATCTGCTGGAGTTGGACATGCTGAGAGAAGGCATTTTGCTTGAAATGTTCTGGCATGTACTCATCTCCAGTTTTAAGTAAAATGAAATTCCAGGGAGTATACTGGGGGAAATGTAAAAGGAGGGGCACAACCCAACTTTTATTTGCAGACCTTGAAAAATAGATAGGTTTCATTTTAAGGACTACAAATCTTTGCTTGAACTGAGCTCTGTTAGCCATGTTAGAGTCTAATGAATGGGTCCTGATGCAGAAGCAGAAGCTGGGAGCTTTTCTCTCTGTACCACAGTGAGTTTCACAATGAAGGCAGCCTCCCTTGGAAATGAATGAATGATTCCCATGAGAGAATGAGTGAGTCTCAGTGCTAAGTGCAGACACTGCTGTTGCATAAACAGAATTTCCTATCCATTCAAGTGAAACACATTACAAAGGAGAGTGAGTAGCTGCAGGGCTGCAAGAAATGAGGGCATCTGCACTGAGCTGAGTGAAGTACCACTGGCTTACACATGATGCTAATGTGACTTTAGCTTTTAAGAGCACCAATTTTTGCTTGAGATGCTTCACTGATCTAACAACCCTTCTTATTCTGATTTGTGGCACAGGACAAGCCTGTACTGGCTCCTGAGCCCCTGGTTATGGACAACTTGGATCCCCTGATGGAGCAGCTAAATAGTTGGAACTTCCCAATCTTTGATTTGGTGGAAAAAATTGGGAAGAAATGTGGTCGGATTCTCAGTCAGGTGAGAGGTGCACCTTGTCTGCAGGGTCTAAATGTTGACAGATTTAGACAGAGACATGTTCAAAGGCATTGTCCTTACAAGCTGATGGTCCAATGAACTGTGATCCCTGACACCTAATTCAAAGCTGACAGTATGAACTCTGCCTCATTACATTCCTTACTTTTGAATGTCTTCATTTTTAAATTTAAAAATGTGAAAGATTAAAATCATGCAGCTATTTTGCTTTCTGCTCTTTGCTTTTCTGAATATTCTCTTGAGATGCTTTCAGCCCTTACTGAGTTCTTTGGGAAAGGATTTCTCATGGGGTTTAGCATGGGAGGACTAAACAGTAAATATATTCAGTGGATGCAAGATACACACAGTTTTGGTCCTCTTTTATACTGAAGATTTCAGTATAAGATCCCAGAAATAAAAGGTTTCAGATTTCAGGCTGGACAAGAAAGCAAGGTGTGAGGAAGTGGGGGTAGAAAGAATTCTTGCTATGTTCCCTCATTTTTAAAGAATCAGAACTTTGAGAGAAAATTCATATAATATTACACAGGGAAGATTTGCTATGAGCTGGGAGAGCTTTCTAGTCTTTCTTTCAGCTCTCAGGTTTTTATTCCTTCCTGTGGGTTTAATTCAGTTACTGACACAGCCTGTGTCTAGCCAGCACGATTAGTGTCACCTCCCAAAATCACTTTCTACTCTGCTCTGCCCCTTTTCCTGGCACACTGACAAATTAGTCCTTTTTTTCTTATAGAAATATCGAAGATTATTAAACAGGAAAAGCAAGTCATTATTTTTATTATTATTAGGGTTGAAAGGGAAAAAAAGCCCCAGAGAATCAGACTGAACGAGGATCACTTTACAAGGTATTATGTAGTGATGAGTGCTGGAAAGAAGAGATAAAGTTAATTGGTACAATGTGGTACAATTATCACCCCCCCAGAAACACAGAGGTCAGTGTGTCAGGCAGATTTCAGTGTAACAAGCTCCAGAGAATGCTGGATCAAATCACAGTCCCTTGGTGGTTACCTGTTATTCAGCTAGATTCAATTGCTGGTCAACAAGGAGAACCGTGGCATGAATTCAGATTTATTCTGTGGTCTGCCTTTTTGTGTTCTGCAGCTTGGCAAGCAACATTTGAGTTTGAGCAGCCTGCCAAGTCCCTGGGTTCACTTAGAGAAATAGGCAAACTGTGGATATTGGATATATTTATGGGATAAACTCAGAGATGCTCACTGAGGCGCTTTTGCACCGGACAGCGAGTGTGTGACGTGTGAAATGCTCTTCTAGATCATACTGCTCATTTTTCTAATAGCATGGAATGGTAATAGAATGATGAATGAAACGTAAGGAAAACCAGAACTTTCTTTCAATGGCACAAAGAAGAGTTTGGATGAGCCAGAATTTGTTCTGGTTTTACATGGGTCCCTCTGTAGGCTTTAAGCACTTCACCAAGCTGCATGGGGTTCTGTACCTCTGGACACAAGTCCTCTGTGCTTCCCTCAGATTGCACTAAATCTCCTCACTCTACTTCCCAAAATCTGTTTTTTTTCTGCAGGTTCTCAACATGTTACCCACTTCACCCAGTTCCACAAAATGAGACTTGAGAAATAAAATAGAGAAGCTTTAATATTTGTGACAAAAACTCAACATTTTCTGTAACAGCTGTTTATAATATCTCCTTCTCCCTAACAGCAGAATATAGCATGTTCTACCTTGTTCACAAAATAGAGATCCTTATTACCCCCACCTCCTCAGATGTTGCTAATGAAATTACTTTCAGAAATCAGGAAACTAGAATAAATAAAATTTTTTTTCCAGCCAAAACCACTATTTTTTTCCTGGTTTTATTTTTAAATCCTGGGATATTATTAATAAAGGTAAACAAAAGCTCTTATGATTTATTCTCAGTGTTTTGCTATCAAATGGACTAACCCATTCAAAAAAAAAAAAAAAGTCAATTAAAAAGCTGAATTAACTGTGTTTGCCATGCTAGGTTAAATTTCTGAGATGGAACAAAGCAAAGTTGACACATGCCTCCAGGGAAGCATTCAGTTTAGAAAGCAAATGCTGGCTTAGCATCTTTGAAGCTGCTTGAGATACCTGTTCCTTCTTTGTGGAATGTTAAATTGATTTAGACATAGAAAAAGACCCTAAACCAGTCAGGAGCCATGAAAGCATCTGTGCAAAGTGGAGTGGCAAGCTCAGTCAATGTGGCAGTGACAAATGTGCATGAAAGGGTTCAGAGAGGAGCATAAATTCATTCTCATTGCAGAGACGAAGAGCCGAGCTCTGAGAACTGAGCTGTTGCTTCAAATTCGTTACCTTTTTTGTTATTCTTACCTTAAAAATCCACAGTGGCAGGGCATTTGGAGCTGATAATCATTCAACTTTAGGTGCAGCTTATAGAGGCCCATTTATATATAAAAAATACAGACACAAGCAGGTGTGAATAGATGTTTGAATTATACTCAGATGTAAAACACAAAGCAATTTGTGACCATTTCTTGCCCTAGAGCACTCACAGTCCAAATGTGCTTCAGGTTGCTTGGCTCTAGGTGGGTCATTACCAGGCAGATGGTACCAAAAGGACAGAATTTAGCTAACAGCAGTAAATAAATAAAGATTGTGCGAGGATTTAGGGTCCGATTTGCGACAGAAGTGAAAAGATCAGGCAGTGATTTTCCTGTGTCCCATTATTTTGTGTGTCAAGTTCAAACTTGTTTTCAAAAGTGCCCATTTTGTGTCAGCTGCTGCCTGCATTTCTGAGCATCCATCTCTCCTGAGCACCTCCCCACTCACCCACGGCATTCCCCTTCCCAGTACATCCCTCCTGGATGTTTGCACTTAGAGCAGCTCTGCCTCCTGAGCTCTTTGCTGCCCCTGATATCCTGGTGGAGTCATTTTTGTCATTTCACCACCAAAAGTGGAGAGAAAGCAAGGACACAGTGCAGAGGAGCCATGTGGTTCCCCCTTCTGTCAGTCCTTTCCTTGTTCTTCCTCTTCTGGGAGTTGATTTGAGCCAAGGATTTGGGAAAATACTCCCAGGAAAGCAGATTTTCACAGGGTAATTCAACCTAAGGAGTTTTATATCTAATTTGTAGAGTTTTTTCTCATCTACTTAACAGCATGGGGGGGTTTTGTTTGTTTTTTTTTCTTCTTTTTTTCTTTCAGGTATCATACAGGCTTTTTGACGACATGGGGTTGTTTGAAACCTTTAAAATACCAGTGAGGGAATTTATGAACTACTTCCATGCCTTGGAGTGTGGATACCGAGAGATACCTTGTAAGTAAAAATTCCTGGCACATCATGATGCTTCCCTCAATTTTTGGGGATTTTGTATTGAAGCCTTTCTTCTTGCATTATAAAGCTACTTTTTTTTCTTCCAGTGTACATCATGACCAAGTGGATGGCTAGGCAGGGGCTGGTGCTGAACCACAGCCTGGCATCTTTTTCTCTTTGTATTTCATCTTTTGCATTGTTTCATAATTCATGGCAAAATCTGCCAGAAAGCCAGAAATCATATAAAGCTGTTATTAGTAAAGACTGTTTCCTGAATAATGCAAGTGTACCCCAGTGCATTTGGAGGTTCTTGAAACATTTAACCACCTAAAGGCAACGTGCATTTTTACACAGTAGCAGTGCTATGCTACCAAAGGAGATGAGCTTTATAAGCAGAAAAAATATACCCAAAAAACATGAGTGAACCCTGTTCTGTTGCTACAGCTTAGCTGATGTTTTTCCGTGGGAAACATTTATTCCCTGAAAAAACTGTTTTCAGCCATCCCCAAAGTATTTGCTAATTCAAATCAAATTTATCAAAGTGCTTCAGCTGCAAAAGACTGGGAAAAAAAAAAAAAAAGAGGAAAGACTGATCACCCCCTTTAGGTTGCAGATAAACCCAGCACTGAGGAACACAACACCCTGTTTTCTCTACACTCACAGAAAAATGTGGGAAAAATCATTATAAGTCATGTGCTCTCTCTGTCAAATATTAAATTCCAATTGTAGCAGCTACAGTGGGAAGGATTTAAGGAAAGCTACCTCTAAATGCCTTCAGCCAGATGGTTTGGAATCTCTTCTGGGAAAGAGAGACCCAGTTTTGATCCTTTCCTTGTGGTTGAGCTGGATCAGGGATCTAAAGCAGCATGTCACAGCCTGAGGAGGTTAGAGATGGAAGTCCCACAGCCTGTCCTGCTGAAGCCATTCCTTTCTGTCTAAAATATTTAACTATTCATAGAGTCTCTGGGATTTTTATGAACCTAGCACTCCATTTCCCTTTTTTTTTTTTCTTAAGTGATTTTTTTTTGTTTTACTAAAGAAGAATCTCTTTCTAATACAAAATCCATTTATCTTCCTTTTTTTTTTTTTTTTTTTTCTTTCATTTCTGTGAAAAAGGTAAAAGCAGCTCTGATGCTCGTGCTAAGGTTGGTTTTGTCTCTGCTGGATTGCCTGCCACCCGGTACCCACTAGATGGTGCTGCTAGCCCTGTGTCAGAAACCCCCTGATGTTTCACAGCTGGCTGCTTTTCTCCCCATCACAGATCACAACCGAATCCACGCCACGGATGTTCTGCACGCCGTGTGGTACCTCACCACCCAGCCCATCCCGGGACTGCCCACTGTCATCAGTGACCACGGCTCAGCCAGCGACTCAGGTACCTTTAAACGTCAGCATCCTCAAGTTTCTCTCGTGAAATTTGCTGTGGGAAAGGCGACAGCTGGGGATTGCACGCGGGAATTTTTTTGGCAGTCTGTGGGAATGTGTTAAAAGTTCAGTAGCACAACGGGTGTTGAAGGAGTTCGGGTGTGTTTGTGTAACTTTGAAGGGAATGGAATTGTTCCTCCAAAACCTGATACTTGACATTTAATGATGTGTGAATGCAAGCCTTTGTGGTCACCTTTAATGACAGATCTTTGTTACCATTTGATTTTTGCAAAAGGTTTTTATTTTTGCAAAAGGTTTTTTCCTAGGAAAACTGCACTATTAGTGCTTTTCACTGCTGTACCAGACTTAAATCCTTAAACCTTCATTGTTTTGCTATTCTGCAATTTCTGGGGCATGCAGGCAGAGCTGTGCACTTGCCACTGCTTGGCTCTCATGAAGTGTTCTTTGCTTTTCCTGACTATCTCCAAATAAAAAGACTTGTTGCCATCTGGCAATTGCTTTATATCTTGCATTTTTGTAGTAATTTCTCCATGTTCAGTTGTGGCAACTAGAAGACCTGTCTGTGTTTTGTTGGAGTTCTCAGAGAGTTGCTGGAAAAGCAGGAGTTTGTTCCATTCCTGCTTATTTTTTCTCTTTTTTTTTTCTTTTCTTTTTTTTTTTTTAATGTGGTGTTAAATGGTGTTATTCCTAAGAAAAATTTATTAGCAAGGGATTTCAGTGGCTTTGTAGGTAAGGTGGAATGAAAGGGGTTGAGCTCTGGGGCTTTTTTTGATGTTTGTTATTTGAAAAAGGTTTTTCAGCTGCATGCAAGATCCACTTGAGGTTGTTCAGATTAAATTAGCAAAGCATCTCAGTATCTGTCTCTGACAGGTATGCTCAAGATGCTTCAAAAAGAGGATGATAAGAGGATTATCAGCAAAGATCCAAAGTCTAGACATTTGTATTGGAAAACATCCACTGTAATTTAATTATTAAATTCTAGTCCGTTGCTTTAAGGACTGTCAGTGTCTCGTGGACTTGTCTACATGATGAAAGAAATTAGAGAAAGGAGTGGGAAGATTAAGTTTCCCCACAAAGCTCCAGCATGGCTGTGAATCCATGTCTTACTGCTTGTAACTTACATAGTTTGAGAATAGGTTTTGCTGGAGGACTGGAAGATCCCCAGGTGGGATCAGAATTTGTTCCTTTCCAGTTGTTTGCCTTACTGTACTGGATCATAGGCACAGAAAGCACTGAGGTCAGGCTGCATTTATCCTTACTGGGAATTTGCTTCTCTTACAGCAGGTCACTGAAAGAGTGGCCCTGGATTTTTGACTGTTTCCATTTCTTTATTTCTGCTCAGATTCCGACAGTGGAATCACTCACGGCCACATGGGATATGTGTTTTCAAAGACATACACACCTACAGATGACAGCTACGGCTGCCTGGCTGGCAACATCCCTGCCCTGGAGCTGATGGCTCTTTATGTGGCTGCAGCCATGCATGACTACGATCACCCAGGAAGGACCAATGCCTTCTTGGTAGCAACGAGTGCTCCTCAGGTAAATAAACCTCAGGCAGTGTTGCTGCGCAGTTTGGAAGGTCTCGATGACAGCTTTTCCTTGCTAGTGGTGCCTGTGGCTTCCATTAAGCACAAGTCTGCCAAATATTTTGAAACAGCTTGTCAAAGTGACAGAAATAATCACTTCACTTGGGGATTGCTGGTAAGAGTCTTCTTACACACCCTCAGTTAGCAGAGCTGTTGAGAAAGGTGCTGATAAACTGTGTCAGTGGAGAAGGTAAAGCTCTGCTGACTGATAGAGAACCTGCAACTGTGGAAGAAAGGAAGAATTGTTCTATCAAGTAATGCACAGAAAGATTAAATAAAATAAAACATCCCGGTTGTGTAGCTGACTGTGCTTTGCAAGTTAATTGTGCACGATCAGAACACATTTTGTGTTGCTTCTATAGAATATGAGCAGCGTCAGTCTTTTTATGAAAGTATTTGGAAGCAGGGAGTGGAAAATAGTGTTATAAATGTAGAATTAAGGCTTGCCTAAGGTTACATAGAAGTTACTGCCAGTACTGAGAGTTGGACTCAGCAATTCTGAGTCACTCTTTATTGGCTTAATCATGAGATCATCTTTCCTTGCTTTACATAGCTGACCTGCCTGGCTTCAGCACACTGTGCTGAAAAATACTTCTATTGATGAGGAAATTTTTAAAAAAGATATCTTAATGGTGACAGGTCAGGTAGGGGTGCGGAAATTGTGGATTTACTCCCCAGCTTGCAACCAGACTTCCTCTGTCAACAAGAGCAAGTCACCTGAACTCACTCTGGTGTCACTTTGTGTCTATGACTTGATAGAAAAGCTTCTCATCTTTGCAATGCATTTCTGTGATCAAGAGCTTTGATGCTTTGGCCAGATAAATAGACTGGGAGAAGACATGTGCTATCCTTAAATCTAATTGAAAGAAACTAGTGCTGTAGCTCTGTGCTTGTAAAAATCAGAAAAGGAAGTTAGATGATTAGCCTTTTTCTATTTACTCTAGTTTGAAAATAAATTAAGAGGAAAAAAAAATTTCGTGTTATTTTCTGAATGGAATTGCCATCACTTTGAGAGTTCAGCTTCTTATTTTGATAAAGATTTGACCAATTTTGGATTTTAGCACTGAGATATCTGTCAGGCTGAGTATATGTTTTCAGGTTGCAAAGTGGAATTTCACCTGTTCCTGTGTTTGGAATCAGTCCTGCATGGACACCTCTGCCTGGTGCAGTTACCAAAGTGCAGTAATTCATTAAGTGAGGTTAATTCTGACAGTCGGGGAAGCACGCCCCTATGTTGTGTTAGCCCTCAGCCTGTGGCCTGAAACAGATGGTCCATTGCTGTGATTTTACTAAGATGGTTTTGTCAAAATGGTTTTGCCAAGATGATTTTGCTGAGATGATTTTGCTAGGATGGTTTGGCCAAGATGGTTTTGCTGAGATGGTTTTGCAAAGATGATTTTACTAAGGTGGTTTTGCTAAGGTGGCTTTGTAGATGATTTTATAAGATGGTTTTGTGTAGATGATTTTGCTAGGATGGTTTTGCTGAGAGGGTTTTGCTAAGATGGTTTTACTGAGGTGGTTTTGCAAAGATGATTTTGCTAAGATGGTTTTGTGTAGATTGTTTTATGAAGACGGTTTTGCCGAGATGGTTTTGCTGTGAACATCATTTTGCTGAGAGGGTTTTGCTGAGATGATTTTGTCGGTTTTATGAAGACGGTTTTGCTGAGATGGTTTTGCTAAGATGTTACTGTGAACATCATTTTGCTGAGAGGGTTTTGCTGAGATGATTTTGTCGAGATGATTTTCCTGACATGGTTTTGCCGAGATGATTTTGCTAAGAAGGTTTTGCAAAGATGGTTTTGCTGACATGATTTTGCTAGGATTGTTTTGCTAACAATGGACGGTTGGCCAAGACGGTTTTGCCGAGATGATTTTGCCAAGATGGTTTTACCAAGATGGTTTTACTAAGATGATTTTGCTAGGATGATTTTGCTAAGATGATTTTGCTAAGAAAGTTTTGCTAAGATAGTTTTGCTAATATAGTTTTGCTGAGATAATTTTGCTAGGATGGTTCTGCTGAGATGGTTTTGCGTAGATGATTTTGTGAAGATGGTTCTGCTGAGATGGTTCTGCTGAGACTATTTTGCCAGATGGTTTTGCCAAGATGGTTTTGCCAGATGGCTTTGCCAAGATGGTTTTGCCAAGATGGTTTTGCTAAGATAGTTTTGCCAAGATGTTCCTCAGCTGCCCCTTGCCCGTTGCTTCCACAGGCGGTGCTGTACAACGACCGCTCCGTGCTGGAGAACCACCACGCTGCTGCTGCCTGGAACCTCTTCATGTCCAGGCCAGAGTACAACTTCCTGGTCAACCTGGACCACGTGGAGTTCAAGCATTTCCGCTTCCTCGTCATCGAGGCCATTCTGGCTACTGACCTGAAGAAGCACTTTGATTTCGTTGCCAAGTTCAACGCCAAGGTGAGATCAGTTTGGGTTTCTATTTCCGCTGAATGTCCTTTTGGCTGCTGCAAAATGTAGAATAATAATCTGGCCTTTCTGTTGGGTTTTACTCATTTAAAGTTAGTGGCACAGCTTCTCTTCTTATATATATATATTTTTAATTTTTTTTTCAGAAAGTGGTTTAAGGCTAAAAATTTCACTAGCTATTTTTACATTCTACTTTTCAACATTGCTTTCCTGTTCACTGGCACTTCGACCTATTAGCAAAGCACTCAAGGGGGGAAAAATCAAAGGTGTTATTACCAAGTTTGCATAATGGCTACTTTAAGGGAATTTTTACTGATTTAGGCATTCTGTTGCATTATCAAAACAGAAATCAGAACAATTTTGACATTCTAATTTCAAATGCAGTGAAAGCATGGTCTTCCTTTCCTTTCTCTTTTCAGAAGAATGTCACAAAACATCTTTCCTGCATGCTCCATTCAGTGAGCCATAACACTACAACCCTGAGAAACCATTCTTAAAAACTGTTTACAGTTTCAACCTAACTTATTGGAAATCACCTCCTATAAAGATACTTTAGTAAACTCCATCACCCAGCAAAGATGTTGGCATGTTAACTAGATACCTGCCCTTGGAGCTGGTAGTGTTTTCTTGTTCCTAGTGAGAAACGCCCCAAAATGGTGTGTTTTGTATTTGGGACCTCCTGGCTGTTTTGGTAGCATGGATAAAATCTTTCCTGTGGCATTACTTAGCATGGATCTGTATGCTGACACTTTGAAACCTCCACGTATGTGACTGGAATTTTTTTTTATCCATTTCCCTGTAACATCTCCCTTTGTCAGGCTTTATGAAGCTGTGGAGAAAGGCCCTAGGTGTGATCCAGGGTAGAAAGAGATCTGATCTGTAGATCCATAAAAGTTTGAGCTCCTTCTGCACCCCTGCCAGTCAGGTCCCCTCCAACCTTAACCTTTCTGCTTTTATTTTAGAGCAGCTGACAGTATGTGTGGCTTTTTCTTGCGAGAGGTATGGGGAAAATAGAGAAAAGGGAAAAGGGAGGAAATCGTTTCAGCCATGCTTAGATCAAACAGGGAAATAAGCTCATTACACACATCTTCACTCTGCAATCAAACCATCATGACACTTTATAGTAATTTGTATTTCTACACCAATAGGTATCAACTTCTTGAAAAATGTCGTGGAAAGATTGCATTTGTTTGTTTTCCTAATAAATCCTTTCAAACAGGTGCATAATGTGCAGTTCTAATATATAATATTATATTACATGATACATATTATATTACCATATAGTATATATAAATGATATATACTATATTATTATGTAGAGCATAAATAATATTATATAATATAATAATTTATGTTATATGACATTAATATTGTATATTATATAATAGGTATATAATATAATGCATATTATTATATATTATATAGTAATATATAGTGTATATATATAGTATATATAGTATATATATAATATTATATTATATTATATATAATGTTATATATATAATATATAATAATAATATTGACTTATCTTTATTCCTCTTTATTCACCTCAGTGTTCCTTGGTTTTCACTTATTTTTCCCTTTCCATCTTGTTAATTCCAGCCTGGAAAGATTGCATTTGTTTGTTTTCCTAGTAAATCCTTTCAAACAGGTGCATAATGTGCAGTTCTAATGTATAATATTATATTACTTACATGATACATATTATATTACCATATAGTATATATAAATGATATATACTATATTATTATGTAGAGCATAAATAATATTATATAATATAATAATTTATGTTATATGACATTAATATTGTATATTATATAATAGGTACATAATATAGTACATATTATATATTATATAATAATATATAGTATATATACTATATACTATATATAGCATATATATTATATATAATGTTATATATATAATATATAATAATAATATTGACTTATCTTTATTCCTCTTTATTCATCTCAGTGTTCCTTGGTTTTCACTTATTTTTCCCTTTCCATCTTGTTAATTCCAGCCTGGGATTAGCTCAACTACTTTTGCTAGTGATTTTTTGCAGTAGCCCAGGTCAGATCCTGCTCTGCTGCCTGGCATTACCCTCCTGGTTTCCTTTTCCCTGTCTGCAGGTGAACGATGACGTTGGCATTGACTGGACCAACGAGAACGACCGCCTGCTGGTTTGTCAGATGTGCATCAAGCTGGCTGACATCAATGGGCCTGCCAAATGCAAGGACTTGCACCTGCAGTGGACAGAGGGCATCGTCAACGAGTTTTATGAGCAGGTAAAGGCATTCCAGAGCTGCTTTCCTGGTGTTCTGGAGCATGACTGTGCTGCTGGCCAGTGAAAAATCACAGAGTAGGGGAGGAGAGGTTGGCTAGAGTCACATTAATCCAATTTTTTGCTGGACCAGTGAAAGTCCATTTGTCACTGAAGTTTCTGATGTGTCCTCAGAGACCTCTGGTGATGGTGTTTCTGCAGGCTGAACTGTTCAAGGCTGGCACTGTGGATGGTGAAGAAGTGTTCCTTTCCTCTTTTGTTTTCCTGTTGTCAGTCATCATGGCTGTCATTTCCCTCTTCTTTAGTGCAAGCCGTGTTTTCATCCACAGATGGATTTAGAAAGCCCTGGGAATACAGCCAGGCACTGCTCCTCTCCTTCTAGGTGTAAGGGAGCCCTTCACTGAACCTAATTTCCTCATTTTAACCTATTTAGCCCTGCTGAGTGCAAGCTCAGGGCTGTTCCCACACTGTTCCTCTGTTTCCTGAGTGGGAACAATTTGAATGTTCTGGTCAGGTTAAACTCCACATCCTTTCTTTTCTACATGAAGCAAACAGGCTAAATCACTGAACAAGACAACCCACAGACTTCTCAGAGAGGCTGTGCAGAAACTTGGAGTCACAGACTAAGCCCTTTTAAATCTTTTTCAACTTCCCTTAAATTTACTGCACTTACAGTTTGGGAAGAAAAAAATCCAACCAGGATTTGCTGCTGCCTTCTGGAGAGTATAAAGAGACAGGGAAAGGGACATAATTCAGGTATTGACCTGAAGCTTCTTCATTTCTTTCACATCTCCCAAGAAAAACAAAGTCCAATGAGCCTTACCTATGGTATGAATATAGCTGGTTCCATTTTTGTTTTCACTTTTTTTCTTAAACAAAGAAATTGTGTCCCAAAACAACCTTCATGCCCCAAATTTTTTCAGGCAATGCTTTTATTCTTCATTACAACTGTCCCAACAAACTGTGCTTCAAAATTCTGGTGATGATCATAGCTTGTGTGGGTGACCAGTGCATGCAGACAATCAGATGTAGAATATGACTTTCCTTTTTTCCAATAAAAGTTACATCAGAGGGAAATGCCCCAATTTATTAACATCAGCAAAGCCTTGGAGAGTCAGTCAAGCTTGTGAGGATACAGATGTGGGAAGATGTTGTGTTACCTGTTCCACAGTATGAGCCTGTGTTGTTTTCCATCATTCAGGAATGGGATCCAAAACAGAGAACGTTTTCTTTCTCGGATTTGTTTCTGGCATTAAGGGGGATAAGCTAGATTCTCAGGTTCTTTAATCTCTATTAAAAGCTGTTTTTCTTTAATGTTATAGGCTATAAGAGGTGTATGAAAACATATTAACCATGTTTTTGAGCATTAGATTTTTTCTGCGACTGGAAAAGTCTTCCCATTCTCATTCCTAAAAAGGAGAATTTTATGGCAAGTTTGAATTTCCCTGGAAGTATTATCAAAATTCACACATATGTGAATTCAAACTATGCTGTGAAAATCATGAAATATCTTTGATACAGTAAACACCAATTCCTTTCAAGAATTTCACTCCTATATAAGTAAAAACTGCTTATTAAAAATGTGTTGTATAAAAATATTCAAAATCCTCTGTCATATTGTTGCAGGATGATTCCTTCTCTTCACATGTCCAGCATAATTATATGAAGACAGGACAGACAGAATTTAAAAAAACACACTGCAAGATGTTTCACATAATAAATCATGTTTTAACAGAACAATAAAAAGGAATTTGCAAACATTTCAACAGTCAGCATTTCTGCCAGTTCACAGCTAAGAAATCTCAGATATGATTCTGTAAAGAAGAGCAAGCTGTCACCTCTTCTTAATTTGCTTGCTATTTCAAAAATGGATGGCATGTTTCAGTGTTTTGTCAACACAAAAATTTTGTTTTTAATGATTGCAATAACACTTCTGGCTTGGTTATTACTAAATTAGCAAAGAAAACACAAGGAAATGAGATATTTGCTGTACATACTCCAAAATTTAGCTGTTTTTTGGCCTTCACCATATGCAGATACAGACAGGATGTTGGTCAGCTGTGAAGACCTTACTTTTGAAAAATTTACATTACAAGGAGATAAGTATAAGCAAACATAATGGAAACTGAAAAAGCATCTCCAAATTCTAACATGTATCCCATAATATGGAACTCTGTATTGTGTTACAGCAATCAATCACATATCAGGCTTGATTAGGGAGGTTAGAGATTTTTGGGGGGGAGATGGCATCTGGTCTTGTCGTGTCTGCTCAGCTGAAAGCTCACTGATGCCACCAGAGGCTTTGCTGTGATAGGGAATTGAGTATATCAGATTTGGCTCTGCAATAAAGTTTTGCTTTATTTTACATCATAAAGATGAGAAGAGAGAGAAAAAACTTCTCTTTTGCCTCCCTCTCTCCCCCAAAAAAGCTTTGTGGGAAAGATTTACTGGTTTTGAGCAAATGAATGTGATGCATTGCTTTAATTGGGATCATTCTAATAGTCATAGGAAACAAATATTATGACCCAAAGCCAAAAGGACATCTCCAGGTTACTTTTAATAAGGACGAAATCAATAGGAAAACTTAAAATTTAAAAAAAGATTAATAAGAAAAATTCAAAAAATCAAATAAGAAAAATAAAAAAATCAGTAAGAAAACTTTTTAAAAAAAAGAATAGTCTGTGAGATAGCCCTGTCTTGTATAAATTGTCTTACTCAAACAAGTTTGTTGTGAACTAACAATCACACAGTCAGAATGGATTTTTTTTTTTTTAAATAATGCAAAGAAAGAAATGAAATAACAATTTCCAAATTTTCACACAGTGTAAAGTTCAGGGCTAGGGGAATCCTTCTGCAGAGTCAGTGTTAAATTCATCCTTGTTGAATTCACATTATTGGTAGTGGGTTTGTGTCAAGAAAAGAGCTGTAACTGTGCCATTTGACACGATGGCACTGTCACCACGGGAGTGCCAGGCTGGCATTTAGATGCTGTCCTTTCAGCATTTTTAATTGGCTGGGTGTGCTTTACCCCTTTCTGTAGCAGGGTTTTGTTGCCTTTAGCTCAGAAATGAGGGCTGTTTCCCATCTGCAGGGCGATGAAGAGGCCAGCCTGGGCCTGCCCATCAGCCCGTTCATGGACCGCTCCGCGCCCCAGCTGGCACACCTCCAGGAGTCCTTCATCACCCACATCGTGGGACCACTCTGCAACTCCTACGACTCAGCAGGGCTGATGCCAGGAAAGTGGGTAGAAGAGAGTGATGAGTCAGGAGACACTGATGAGCAAGAGGAGGAGGAAACAGCAGAAATGGAAACTTGTGAAAACGCCGAATCCAGTAAGTTGTTGACGCTTCCCTTTTCCAACAAAACAAGTTCCATGTGGTGACCAAAACACTAAGCAGAGGCTGTGAGCTGGCCAGGTTCAGCATGGGCCTCTTCCAGAGTGACAGAGAGTCCTTGGTGTCCTTGGCTGTCCTTGGAGGAGCTGTAGCCACTTACATTGTGAACGGAGGTGCTCCGTGGTTTCAGCACCGATGTGCTTCATATCCACTGTGGTATTTTCGGGGTCCCCAGGATGAAGGAGGAATGATTGAATCTGACTCCGTGTTCTTAGAAGGCTAATTTATTATATTATGATATTATATAATGTTAAAGAATGCTGTATTAAACTATACTAAAGAATAGAGAAAAGATACAGACAGAAGGCTACAAAGAATGATAATGAAAACTCAGACACTCTGTTCCAGAGTCCTGACACAGCTGGACATGATTGGTCATTAAATAAAAACAATTCACTTGAAACCAATCAAACAATGACCAGTTGGTAAACAATCTCCAGACCACATTCCACAGCAGCAAAAACAGGAGGAGCAATCAGATAATTATTGTTTTCATTTTCTTCTGAGGCTTCTCAGCTTCCCAGGAGAAGAAATCCTGGCAAAGGGATTTTTCAGAAAATGTGACAGTGACAATCCACCACTTATCTCCACCTTAGCTGGGGTTTCTGGTGGTGGATCATCTCTCTGTGCATGAGGGCTTTCTAGACTCTTTCAGGACTGGTGTTGATAGAGTGCAAGAATTTCAGTTGAAAATAGGATGTTTGGGAGAAGATTTTTCAAGGAAAGCACTCATTATTTCCACGAGTTAACATGGCAAACAGGAATAATAGAATGAGGATCTGAAGTGCTGATGGAGTAAAGGAGTTTTTAACAATGGAGTCATTTTAATGCACATCTCTTCAAGGTATCACGGAGAGGAGTGGGAAGAGAATTGGCACTGAGCTTTGCTGTGTTGTGTGCTGGGAGCTGCATCACTTGGCTAACCAGTAACTAAAGCTCAAGTTCTCCTGCCCTCCTCTAGAATGGCAACACTGCGTGTTTGCTGTACTGAGATTAAAGGGTTTTACCTTGAAAGGAGATTTCAGGCACTTGTGGGAAGTGATTTTTAAGAGAAAATACTGCAGCTGTAGACCTCTTCCTTTTATCAGTTCCATCCTGCATTACTTTTTTCTTTCTTTCATGTTCTTTTTCCCTCTGAATTTTCTACTGCTGTTCCTTTATTTCCCTCCTCTAAGTGATCTTTCTTTCTCTCCTCTGTATCCAGAAGTTTTAGGAAACAGCAGCCTGAAGTACACTCATGAAATACCCATACTTTTCCCCTCAGCAGCCTTTTTCTGTTCTTTCTCACACATATTCTTTCATGCCCTGCCTGGGTATCATCCCTGTTTTCTGTTGGGAAAGCTGAGAAATATTTGATGAGTGCAGTAAGTCACATATGACTGAAGTGCACTCACGAAATACCCATACTTTTTCCCTCAGCAGCCTCACTTTATCTGTTCTTTCATGCCCTGCCTGGGTATCATCCCTGTTTTCTGTTGGGAAAGCTGAGAAATATTTGATGAGTACAGTAAGTCACATATGGATGTGGAACTAAAATCTGTGTCTCCTGATGTGCAGAATTAACCTTTTATCTCTAGTAAGATCCAGAGGTAAACAGCTTGGATTTAAGAAATCATTGCTATTTTTCACACACACACACCCTTGCACATATTTTAAATTTAGCACTTTCACATGCATTAAAAAAAAAATCCTGTAGAGAACAGTAAACATCAGGTAGTGTAACACCCATGGGTTAATTTATCACCTTATGATCTGTTAGTTCTTTAACAGGCAGAGCCACATGTTTGTGGCAGATTGGCCTTTCTGGAAGTTCCTGCTAGGAGGAAATGTAATTAACACAGATCCCAAAGCCTGAAACTGATACTGCTGTATTAAAAAAAATATGAAGGATGTTCTCATATATGCATGGTGTCTCTAACCTCACTCTGAAATCCTTGGTTTCCTTTCATTTAATACCTCTATTCATTTATCTTCTGTATCACCATTAGTGGAGTCAAATAATGCTGTTTTCAGGTTAAAAGCACTGATCATTATTAACCCTTTTCACATTGCAAACAGACTGATTTTAGTGATCTTCTGTCCATGTTCACAATCAGCCCAATTTTGGACTTTCTGAACTTTCTCAATGAAGCAATAAAAGGTTGAGATGTCAGATGCCCAGACTTTGACTGGCGTAGATGTTGGTAAAGATCTGTGATGAAAATGCCTTTTAGGCATTTTCAGTGACAGAAAACACTTCATCTAGGTCCTGATAATTCACTGAAGAAGTTGAGATAAATTTAAGAGTTATATCCTTAAAGTAGCCTTAAGTAATTTTTTTACTATACAGGAGCATGTACTTGCCCTGAAGATGTTATGCAAGTATAAGAATTAAACAGACTCAGTCTTTAGTGATTCAGACAAATTTTAACACCACAGCAAGTGTCTGCAGAGAGCAACAAGATGTGGGGTCACCTGGGAAACCCAGGAGAGAATGTCCTGCTGTAGCATTGGCAGCAGAGGGGCTTCTTGTTAGTGCTAAACCTGAAGGTTTCCTACAGGGAACCAAGGGCTTTCTAATGAAGGATTGAATTGGATTTGGTCTGTGCTCAGTGAAAAGCTCTTTGTTTCCAGTTCAAAAGCTTCAAGGGCTAAACATTCTGGATCCTGACACAGACATACTTTAGGCAACCTGCAAATACTAATCCACGCAAATTTATTTGGTACAAAACATTCCTCTACGTCACCTTCTTTAAAGAAAAATCAGCAGTTGTCTTTGGAGGGGTTGTTATTTCACTTCTGTGATGGCCATTGTCACTGCTAATGACCAAGAACATTTTTCAAACTCTGTAGTGCTAAGGAGTTAAGAATCTGTGTTGGACAGACCATATTGACAGGAGAAATCCACCCTTCAGGCAGCAGAACACTTGTAGTGTGTGTCGGGAGCTGTGAGAACCAGCAGGGACAAAAACACTTCATAGGCTGAGAGCAGGGGCCTGGTGCTTCAAAAGCCAAGAGAAGCAAAGCTCCCTGTGACAGTATTTGGCTGTAGGAGTGCTTCTTCAGTGCTCAGGCTGCTGCCACAGCAATGCTGAGCTTAAGCTTAAGGTCACCTCCACTGCGATGGGGGAGCGATGGATGACTGTGAAAATGGAACATAGGAAAACAAAATCAGGATTTTTTTCCCTAGGACAATCAGCAGGGAGGTATTGAGGGTGAGGAGGGCACAGAATTGAATGTGTGTTGATCAAAATCTTTAAGAACTTCATGTAAAATGAGCAGAAACAGCTCAGCAATGTTTTTTATGCATAATCATTCAAAGACCAGGCAGCTCTGTAAGCAGCTGAGTCAGGCACAACATGCAGACTTGGCACAGAATGAAGTTGGGCTCAACCTTTTCAGGAAACCAGTTTGCCTTCCCCAAGATCCGCAGAGGCACAGCCTTCTGAATTTTAACACTGTTCAAATGTTGGGGTTTAAAAATCTGTCATAGTACACTATCTGCTTCCTGTGCCTTCAGTCGCTTTTCCTTCTCCAGTAGAAACCAGCACATTAACGTCACGTGGTGTTTTACAGGAAAGAAGAAGTTCAAGAGGAGGAAAATCTACTGCCAGATCACTCAGCACCTGCTTCAGAACCACAAGATGTGGCAGAAGGTGATTGAGGATGAGGAGAGGTTAGCTGGGTCAGAGAAGCAAGGCACGGAGCAATCCCCACTGCACCAATCTTCAGAACAAATCCAGGCCATCAGGGAAGAGGAGGAGGAGAAAGGGAAGGCCAAGAAGGATGAAGAGGAGAACACAACTGTAGAACCAAACCAATGACAATATTTACAGCAGTATTTTAAGACAGATTGACTCGTGCACAGACTCTTTCTCAAGCCAGCACAGCATTTAGACACAACACTGTAGAAGTATGGGATAATGCGCCTACAGCTGTTTAATTTGTTTCTCTTTCCTTTTTCTGGTGAGGTACATTGTTTAAACTCCTATGCTCAAGGAAGCTTTCACACTGCAACACCGGCTTTACAGACTTTCTTTGAAGAGATTTGGGGGTGGGTGGAATTATATATATATATATATATATAGCCAGGTTTATTGGCTGCACACTTCAGCAAAATACATTTAATGATATATTATGGTCACTGTGATATTTACAGGAGAAAGTTATCTGAGGAAATGCTGCTTCTGAAGCACATTTGCAGTTAACAGTAAGGTACCAGTTAAGTAGCTTTTTGCTCTTAATGCTGAGGGATAAAAGTTCCAAAGCTTTATATGAATGCTGATATATCCTGCCAACACATATGTGTGAGTGAGGGGGTGTTTGCAAGTGTGAGTGGATGCGAGGAAATACAGCGTGCTCTGAGTTCTTACCACACTAGCTGTAGCACATGTCCCAGCATACCACAACAAAGAGAAGGCCAGAATTTTAGAGAATTCGTGCCTGCAAGGGAACAATTTTGAGGAGCTTTGCTTTCCCATAGCCCTCCAGTGCCAGTTTGCACTCCAGCTGCGGGCAGCCTCCGCTCAGCAGCGCGCCAGGCGCCGCTCCGGCCCTACCCAGCTGTGCTGGATCTCCTCCTCCTCCTCCTCCTGGGCACCTCCCGGACTGCTGGCGAAAGGGATGTGCCAGGAGAGCTGTTTGCAGAGGGGGAATGCGTGGCACAGCAGTCTGTGCCCCTGCAGGAGGCCGGCCCTGCCTGTGCTCCGCAGGGCGAGCGCGCCGCGGGGCCGCTGGCGTGTGCGGGCGCGGCGTCCTCTCCTGCCCTCAGCCCCTGCCTCTGGGCAGCCACGGCCAAGCCTGGCATTAGGAACAAAGCTAAACTGCTGGCAGGCAAAAGAAGGGCAGCGTGGGAGCCAGGGGAAGATGGCAAAGATGCATTAGGAGCTGCCTGGGGACAGGGGCCAGGCACTCGGTGTCCCAGGTGTGCTCTCACGGGCTGCAGAGAACTCGGGTTTTCACTGTCAGGTGCTGCATGGCAGCAGTTTGTTGCTGGCATTCTGCTTAGGAGCAGCATGTTTGATCCCACCAATATATTTTTCCTTCTTTCTTCTTTTTTTTTTTTTTTTTTTTTTTTTAACAGAAAGTAAAAGATCAGGCCTGTAAGAACAGCGGATCTTTTTTTTGTTGTTGTTGTTCCGTTCATTTGTTTTCTCTGTTGTTTATGCTGTGAGCCAAATGTCTATTTAAAAGGTTGGATATTCACTTTCAATATTTTATTTCACGATATATTTGTCAATGATTAGCTATCTAGATGTAAATATGGAAAAATTTTTATGGGTTCCTGTAGATAATGATATCTTTAAGAAAAAAAAAAAAGAAAAAGAAAAAAAGGGAAAAGTTGTTTTGTAAAGATAATTTTTTAAAAAATAAATACAAAAACATTTTTATACAGTGTAGCCGTTTCCAAACCCCAAATAAAGTCTTGAGTAATCTGTATAGACCCTTCTGGGAAACCAGCAGTCTACAGGATCAAGGCTTTAAAATATTAATGCTCTTGGGGACTGGCAGCACCAAGCAGTACCCCACAATTCAGAGATTTGTTCCCACAGAAAGAGTTATATATATATAAACTTCAGTATCTCTCAGAACTCCTTTGACTATGTATGCTTTTTCTAGTTTGATTTTGCAGCCCATTACCAAGCAAAAGGCTGCTTGTGAGAGTAAGATTCCTTGTGAAAGGCAGAGTTTGTGGAAGTCCTTTCTGTATTAAATTTCTGGCATTACACCCATCACTTTTTGCTATTGTTCCACGTTCACCACATTTCATGGTCCTGTTGACACCTCCCCAAAATGTTGGAAAACATTCTCTATCAAAGCCAATCACATGTGTGTTATCACTTCAGAGTTCCTTCTTGCTTTGTGTTTCTGTCAGAATGAGGTTTTGCTCAAAAGAGGATTTTTGGAGTTTTTGCTGGTTGCATTTTCCTGATATTGTCCTGTCCTGCTCTTACCAGTAGAAAATGTGTTTGCCTTTCAGCAGAGTGACTGGGGCAGGTTCTGAATGCTCAGCAGGAATATTTAGGAAGTGTTTTCCAGTGAAATCAGGAAAGCAAAGATCCAAATTGCACTGATGTTTTAAAGGGAAAAGACACAGCAGGATTCATTCAAAAGGAAAAAAGTTGTCTCCAAGATCTCAGCAAGTCTCCACCAATTCCAGCTTGTGTTGTTTTCCTATCTCTTCAGTCACTTTGATTTATCATTTTATTTGGGCTTTTCTTCTGCAAGTGATATGCATACCTTACAGTATAAGAAAGATTTACTATGCCTCATTCTGTCCTTCAAAAATTAAAATTACAGAGATGTTTTAAAATGTCACATCTCCAAGCACTTCTTTCTTGATTTTCAGTGCATAATCACTGCAAATGAATTTTAATACTGGGGTTTATATTGCCTTTGCTGGAAGAGGAAAACAATTCTGTTGCTGCAAGTGTTAGTGGGTGCCCAGTTAGTAAAATTATGAAGAACCATTCAAGAATAAGGCAAAATCTTGTAAGGAGGGTTTCACATATTCCTCTAAGAGGGTTGGAAAGAACTAAGAGTAACTAAGAAAAGTTATCTAAAAATGTGCTGCAATGAAACCATTATATTTTTCTAGTCATCATTTTTGGTTGCCATTAAGTAAAGTTAGTGTCAGCTTCTAATTTGTTTTTCTGCATTGCCAAGGCAGCTGTTAGAAACTGATACACCAGCCTGTTCATGGGAGCAGTCACTGAACTGGACCTTAATGGTGAAGAAATTGCTGACAGACTTAGAATGAGAATGATTGTTGTTTTTATCCAAACTAGAAAGAAATTCCAGTGAAGAAGCTGAAGTGGCTGTGAGTGCTCAGCTTGGTAAGAGGTGAATTTTTTTTTTGTCCCACTTCAAATAGTAATCCAATTTCTGCAGGTGGTCCCTCCTTATGAATCTGATTCTCAGTCTTTGAAGGGCATGTCTGGCAGCCAGTGATCAGAAAATCTCCAGGTTGGCTTAGATATAACACAAAAGAAAATACCAGAGTGATTTTATGTCAAGAATGTGAATTTCTTTTTTTTTTTTTTTTTTTTTTTTTTTTTTTTTTTTTTTTTGTGCTTTGGGGTTCATAAATAACGAATCAGGTAATTTAGGGGGCTTTTTAATTTTTTTTTTTTGCCAAAGGAGGCAAAACTTTCCACCTGCAGTTACAGCAGTCTTTTGGAGGCAGAAGGTTTTCCACTTTGTGTAGTCCTTTGGTGTTGCAAGCACCAAATAAACCACAGCCTCATAAATATTTTAGGAAGAAAAACTCAATCAAAGGAAATTAATTATGTTGCCAAATTGAGCACCAGTCAGTGGCAGAGCCTACAAGGACTCTGTGTGGGCATCCAGCACTGCTGATCTGTGAGCTGAGCAGGTCAGCAACCTGAGCCTGGCTGGACTTGGAATCCTAGAGAATTTTGTCAGTTTTCAAAATGGACCCTAAGCATTTCTGAAAGCTTAGCCACGAGTCTAACGCAGCAAAAGCTTTGTGGCTGGAGCTGGTTGTTAATGAAGTTCTTGTGCAAAGTCCGTGTAAGTCCTGCCACAACTGAGATGTTCCAACACCACGTGGGAGGAAGGAAGGGTTCAGTTTAAGGAGGAGAAGTTTCTGAGCATCCCACGACCTCGTGGGCAGAAGATTAGACAGAAGCAAGTTCCCAGAGTGAAGGATTTACCTCTCTGCCCAGCCTCAGCCCTGGACGTTGCCCTTAGCACTTGGGAATTCCAGTCCTCCAGTGGATGGGGTTGAACACAGGCAGGAGAGAAGTGAAACCTGCATTCTGTGGGGAGGAGGAAAGGAAATCGTAGCCCATTCTCAGCCAGATTTTATAAAACAAAACTTATTTTCCTTTTCTTTCGAAAGCAAATGTAATCCTGCTGAAATGGAGTAACATAGAGTTTCTAGGAGGTTAATTGCTGTTTGATGTTGCAGTATTAGTTAAAATTATGGCAGTGTTAAAGAGAAGATAATTATTCCCATTAATTAGAGCAGGACAGTCTTCTTTTTTTTTCCTATTTTTCAGTGAATCAACAAGTAAGAACATCCAGGGATCTTGGAGAACCATACATTAAGTGTTTTTGAACAGATGAAAGAATCACAGAAATTAGGTGTGAGCTGCCTTAAGAAACATTGAGAAGAGCTTGCAAAATTATTGACTGTTGGAGTCAAACTTTGATTTAGAGCAAAATAGCACCAGTGCTTTTGAGAGCAATTTAGTATGATAGATCTTTCTTTGAATTTCATCACTTTCTTTTAGCAAAACAGCATTCCTCTGCAGGTAAATCAAACCAGGGTTTAGCCCCTGCTGTGGCAGATATTGAGTTCCAGTGTTGGAGGGAGCAGTGTGAGAATTATTCTCCACTTAGAATCTAATTATGATTTATTCAGAAGCCATTAGTGGGATTTTCCTGGCAGGCAGGTGTTCTGTTGATGAAAAATGCATCTCAGCACCTCAGCAGGATGCAGGTGTCACCTGAGTGAGCTCCTAGGACAAGCTCCTCAGGAGCCTGGGGGCAGAACAGTGCTGGTGTATTTCTGCAGAGTTCCTTTTCACAGTGACAAAAGGCACAAAAGGCAAGAGCTAGTTAACAATACTTCTTGGATAAAAATGAAATGGTAAGCATTGTGCACTCTGAAACCCTGCCAGCATCACTGAGGTGTATGCAGACATTCTCCCCACCCCGTGCTTGCTCCTGTAAAACTGCTGGCGAGTTCAGGTAAAACCAGCTGCCCTTGGGTGTGGGCTGTCAAGCTGAAGGATGTGGTAAATCAAGAAGAATTTTAGACTGAAGT